GACTTCTATCTGATGGTATCCGGACTTTAAGTCTATCTTAGAGAAATACTTGCAACCCTGCACCCGATCTAAAAGATCGTCTATCCTGGGCAGCGGCTCAACATTTTTCACCGTGATCGCATTCAAACCCTTGTAGTCTATACACATACGAAGCTCTCCTTCCTTTTTGGGGACAAACAAAACTGGTGCTCCAAAAGGAGACGAACTGGGCCTGATCCAACCCTTCTCAAGGAGTTCGTCTAACTGCTTGCGAAGCTCCTCTCACTCTCTAGGGGACATCCTGTAGACTGCACCCTTAGGAGTTCTACTGCCASGCTCTATCTCTATCCTGTGCTGGATGGGTCGCCGCACTACTACTGTCGGCGACTCAGTCAAATCCTTGAACTCCTCCAACAGCTTGGCAATGGTTGGATCGGTGGAACTATCCTTTTCCTGGCCCTCAATGACAGGTCTAACATACACTACAAAGACCTGTTCCTCTAACTGCTCCTTTTTCACTAATTGCGCGAACGCGGGAGCACTGAGACAACAATGTGCCAAGGTGTTATCTACACCAGACACATGGAACAGKCGAGCAGTCTTAACTTCGCCTGACGGGCTAGGGAGCCTACACTCATGCTCTCTCAGATGGAGTGTGGCCCGTGCTGCCTCTCCCCAATCCATTCCTAACACTACATCGAAAGGAAGGTCATCTTGTACGAGGAGAGTCAAGGAATGGAGGACTTTCTCCACTTTTTCATTCTTCTCTAGGCGAAAGTACGCCTGGACTCCCTCTACGTAGTCCTCAACGCGCATCGTGCGGTTGTCTGCGAGAACACTGACTATGGGGTCTATTAGCTTCTGGACCTTTAGTCCTAGCCTCAACTTCTTCAACGCCCTACGACTAATGTAACTACGCGTAGCCCCTCAGTCTATAAGGGCCCCTACTCTACTTCTGAACACCTCTACATCTACCAAAATCAGTTGTCCCTTACTCTCTCTTTTCATTTTGGCCCAAGCTGGCATTCTCTCCTTTAACTCTTCTGCCACACCTGTGAGGGACGTGCCTAAAGAGACGCTAACACAAGCAGTCTTTGGACAGCTACCTAGGCACGGGCCTGCAACCTCTGCCATAGGCTCATGTGGGTTGGGAGTGTCCTGTTCGCGCGCGCTCACTTCTCCACATGGCCTGGAAGTAGGGGCAGTTGCGACCCCTACTGGCGGCTGCCTTTTGACGACTGAGCAGCCCAACGGGCCTGTCTATACGTTGGAAAAAATTTAATTACGTGCGTCGGGTCACCACAGAACACGCACTGACCCATGTTCACGCGTTCCTGCCATAAAAGCTGGTCCAAGCCCAGATCTTCCCAGGGCCTGCCCTGTCGCAAGCCTGGGTGTCATCCTCCTTGAGGTGCCCTTCCACCTCCTCGCTGCGGGGACCGATTACCCTGCGATTTAACGGGGGACCTTGACCCCTACCTCCCGCTTGGCGGTTTCCCTGTCCGCCAACCCCCTGTGCGCCTGGTCCTCGGCCTCCCATGGCCTGGCCCCTTTGGCCCTGGCCCCCTCCTCTACCTTGCGGCCTCCCTCCGGCCGCGACARCAGCGTAAGACCTCCCCTGCCCTACACAACTGTACTCCTCCCCTAGGCCCCACTCAATCTGATCATATGGGACCTCTTCTGTACCACCCTCCTCTAATGTCAGGATCAAGTGATCCTTGGCCTTGACTTGGCCCGAGATGGTACGATCCTTCCACTTCTTCCCCTTCTCCAGGTTCTTATGCCAGAAAGTGGTAACTGGCATAGACTTCGACTCATACAGGACGACTTCTCTACTCAATGCATCGTAAGTGATGCCGGCCTGCTGAGATTTGTCAAAGAAATGCCCGCGTAGGGCCTCTGGAATGGCACGATAAAACAACTGGACCAACTGGGGATCAGTGACCCCATGGTCCGGGACGGCTACCAAGTCATCCATGGTACTCTTGAGTGCCTTGGCACTCCTCCACTGCCGTGAGTGGATCGTTTGCAGCTTGTCAGAGGCTCTAATGCCTCGCGTTGGGTCAACGAAACGCTCCTTGAGGAGCTGGAGGAATTGGGAAAGAGGGGTGACTTTGGAATATGCAACCAGGTTGTTTTCACAACCGGCTGTGCGCGCGAGAGACCTGGCGAAGCTAGCCGCTTCGTCCTTCAGGGCCTGGAAGGCCACGAGGAGTTGCTCCTCAGTTAGGATATGCTGCAAATAGATATAACTGTTGACACTGGCCTCCCAGATATCAAAGTTTTCCTCCTTCTTTCCCCCGTACGCGTCTGGAAACTTGAGCTTTACAGGCTCTTTGCGGGGTCTACCTTCGCCCTCTGCAGCAGCTATGGCTTTGGCACCCTCAATGGCGCCTTCGCAGTACTTCCCTACGTTGTCCCTCAACTGTTTCACGTCGCCCCCAATGTGGGTGACGATCTCGCGCGCAAACTCCCTAAATCCTGACCGCATGGCACTCAACGCTACATCCTGACTCCAACTAGCCTGGCGCTCCTCCATCCAAGCCTTGCTCAGCACTTCCAGGTACCCCAGTACCTTGTCCCACTTGGCCTTATCATCTGGCTGGGCCAATACCTCCGCTCTACATTCCTGCACCTTCGCTACTGTTGCGGTCATCTTATTCACTTCTTCTCTCCTCCTCCTCTTCTCCCTCTTCATTCTCAGCTTCCACTGCAACTTTTGCTCGTCTTCCCTCTCTCTTCGCTCCATAGGATCCATCATGGTTGCTAGCTCAGTGGCCAATGCGGCCTTCTCATCCTCAGTCACATATGACTCCGCCTCTTCATCTTCCCCCAACGATAAGTTAGCAACCCACTCGCTGATCTTCTTCTCAATCTCAGCGTCTGTGTCCTTCTTCGTGCCACTGCTCCCTTCTCTGCTTTCAATCCTCATCCTTTCTTTTTCCTCTTCTGTTGTCGCTTCTTCTTCAGCAGCCTTCTCCTTCTTCTTCATCTCCTCCTCCACTTCCTTCATCTTCGCCGCCCGCTCATCTGCGATAGCCTTTAGCTTCGCCTGCTTCTCACGCTCTTTTCTCTCCTTATTCTCTTTCACTATGGCGGCCATCTTCGCTTGCTGCTCAAGGGTGTAGGGATTAGTCTCCTTCCCAGTGCAGGTCTCAACCATGGTGATAGGTGTACAACCAGGTTAGAGGTTCCAAACCTCACCATGTAGACGCCAACCCCTGACTAACAGACCTACTGACTCAATCTAAGACTTACAGAATCCTGATAGGGATCCTGTCAACTATGGCCTCTAGCCTAGACCTATGCTATGGCTGTCACTACTGAACCAGTGGCTGATCAGGAGGCATTTAAGGAGATCACCCGTAACTCCGCAATAATTCTTTAACGTCGCAGACAGGACGACGTGATCAGCTTGGTTCTGCCTGTGCTTTCAGCCCACAACTCAGCCTTTCCGGCCTACTGTGCCACATCGAGCAGCCCGCCGGTCTGTACCGGTCCTTGGGAGGGTTCGTATCCCCCAGGATAGTCGAGTCGTCAGACACAGATCATCAGCCTTACTTGGTCTGGTAGGGGAGTGGTTCAAACATGCCCTCAACGCTTAAAGACTACCTGGTGTGTCAGCCCTAACTGCCGTTCAGGCCCACTGAGTCCTACCAACCGTTTCCAGCCGCTCAGCACCGGTCCTTGGGAGGGTTATGCCCCCCTGGAAAGTTGAATCAGCCACACTCAATGCAGAAAGATAGACAGACTGACTTGACTCAGCAAGTACCAAGAGGGGTGTGCACATCCATCGGGCAAGGGGTAGGCTAAGGGCTTGGCGAGATGTTACCAACTCCAGCTTGGTCAAAGTCTTGGTCAACGCCGGTCAACTCTGCAGTCAACCCTCGGTCAACCCCCGGTCAACTCTGGTAGCGCCGGTCAACACCCCCGGTCAACCCTCTCGGTCAACTCCCCGGTCAGCTATGGCTGCCGGCTCTTCTCCCTCGCCAATCCCCTTCTTCTTCTTT